ATTTCACACATAAAGAAATACTCATTCTTATTAGTATAAGTGTTAGTATAATAAACGGCTGTGCAAGAAACTGTGTTTATTTAGAATAAAGAACCAGACCAATCCAGACTCAAAGTGTTTTGTTGAAGGAGAATCGCACGCAGGGGCCGTCTACAAGGCTACTGGTGGTCAGCCTCGTAGACAGCCGTGCCATTCGAAGAGGGCATGTAGTTTTACAGGAGAGAACGAGAATGATAATCACAATGATCAATACTGAAAGAGCAGAACTCAAACAAACAGGAATATAAGTCACAAATCCTTCACCATACACTCTGATGAACACAATCAACAATCACGTGCTTATTGAGCTGTCGTAATATTCAGAGATAAAAAGTCGTATGGTATGATATTTCGAGAATAAAGTCGTAATATTCAGAGATAAAAAGTCGTACGTTATGATATTTCGAGAATAAAGTCGTAATATTCAGAGATAAAAAGTCGTACGGTATGATATTTCGAGAATAAAGTCGTAATATTCAGAGATAAAAAGTCGTACGGTATGATATTTCGAGAATAAAGTCGTAATATTCAGAGATAAAAAGTCGTACGGTATGATATTTCGAGAATAAAGTTGTAATATTCAGAGATAAAAAGTCGGAAACACGCTCACGTTCAGGTGTTCATGCTTTGGTGTAGAGAAGTACAACATAACGTACATACTTACAAACACAAACAAAACCCTGACTGAACTGTTAGTCTGTATATTTTCTGTGTCCTTCTGCAATAAAACAGATACCTGAACAGTGATTTCAGGTATCCGTGATTATGACTGTTTTCACTACATCAAACTCTTTTATGTAAAAAAAAAAAATGAAGGAAATTCATTTTCCATGAAATGGGCCCTTTAGGATCAGTGCAAAAATTAGGCTTTTTCTACCATTTAAATTACTCTTTACTATGAATGATGTAGACGATCTAAAGACGCTGCAAATCCATCGATTTCTGTTTAGTTTGTGTCTCAAACTACAATCCTGAGCAAGAAAACACACGAACAGGAATATAAGTCACAAATCCTTCACCATTCGCTCTGACGAAAACAATCAATACCAAGTGTTTATTGAGCTGAATGTCTGTTCTGAATGTGCACACATTTAGAAACTTTTCATACTGCATCCAACAATAAAGGCTGCAACTGGCATTTTTTTAATCATGGGTGTGGAACTCCAGTCCCGGAGGGCCGGATTCCTGTGCAAATGTGCTGGTTTTCCTGCTCAAACACCCCTGATGCAACTCAGCCGCTAACTGCCAGATTTTCAGCAGGGGAATCAGCGAACCATGTTCAAACTCAGTTCCCCTTTTCTGTTTCACATTGTGATAGAAAAACATAGAAAACACATAAAAGCTCCAATTCCAGACGCTGATCCATTTTAACATGGTCATGCATGCATAGTAACACCTTTGGCCGTTTAACTGTATTGAACCGAGTGTCTCGGCAGTGATGCGTTCTGAAAATTTGCCGATGGCCCCTTTAACTGGTTTTAATCTGCTGTTACGTGTTCGTTTTCATTACATATCACTGCTGTCGGAAAAAAACGCTGTATCTCCATTTCTGTCATTTTTCAGTTTTTGACATAATTTCAAAAATGCCTGTTGTCACTTACATCAATTTCATGATGAATGGACCAAAAGAAATGACCAAAAATGACCTGGGAAAAATGTCTGGTTCCATTGACTTACATTAAAGTAAAGTAAGTAAAGTAGGTTTTTTCTTTCTCCTGAAAAGTTACGATTTTGGAGATACGAGGTTTTCTTCCGACAACAAAGATATATATTTTTGGATATATACTTCTTGGCGGGTCCGTGTGTTTGTTTTGATTTTGTGTTGTCGCTGGATTACACATCACTAAGCTTTCATGCTGGACTGTTTTCTGGACTCTCATTTTCTGGACCCTGATTTCTGGAGTCATATTGCGCTGCTATTGGACTGTCTTTATTTGGATTGTTATCTTTATAAAAGTCTAATGTCTATTGAATTAAAAAAAGAGCTTATACTTTGTTCTGTATAAACAAACTGACATCCCAATCTCAAAATAAGACCAGAGACACCTGAAATAACATTTTCTTGCTGTGCTAAAAAACCGAGTATAGCAATCTCACGCCCACTGTCGTTGGAACCCATCACGCCCTTTCAAATTCTTTTGATGCATGAAACCGCCTTTATGGCTGAAAGCGAGCACAAACTCCTTCAGAGTGCAATCTGGAGCTTTACAAGCTTATTATTAATTTGTTTAATCAAAGTAATAACAAAAAGCAGCTGATGTGTGACTAAAGCCCTATTTGAGCTGGATTAGTTTTACCTGGAGAAGTGCTGTAATTTGGGTCGTTACTGACGAGCTCTGTGATTTTAATCCAGTACGAATCTGCCACGTTGCTGGCTTTTCTAAGTCTGCTAAGTAAAAATTCCAGAGTATATTACCTTCTACTCTTCGCTGAACTCTGAGCTCCCTCGGTAACAGTAGTCCTCGTTGAACTGACATCTCAGTAACATAAAAACAAAACCAAGTAGCGGAAAATGGCGCCTCAAATTGTTTTCTTTTATTTGCAACCTTGCAACAACAATCCAGTTTATATTCCACCCCACATGTTATAATAATGCATCATTTGAAACTGCCATTGATAATGTGCGTCACTCCACACTGAAACGTGTCAATGCGTCATATTTGCTATTTATGTATTGTTATTGTTTGGAAGTGTGACGTCTGTCGCGTAATACTGAGGAAAATATGTGCAGGGTGATGTTTCGATCTGGGTTATTTAGGATAAATTGGTTAAATTACACAGATCCTTTATCCCACATAAATAGGCCAGTCGAATCATCCACAAATTACATTACCAGACCTCCTCTAGTGAAACTAAACCAGCTCGATTAGGGCTTTATATTCCTATTCATGCATTGTGTTGTTGATAAAGGACGTTTGCAACACAAACTAAACAAAAATATATGGATTTTGACTTAGATAACATTCTTTATATATTAAAATAGCCATGTTTTTGCATTCATCTTAAAGCATTAAGATATATAGAGTTAAAGTGGACACTGTTAAAGTCTCTAAATGTATCACCTGTGAGGCGTTTGATTTGATGGGGTTAAACGGCTCAACGTCACTGCGGAGTTGAGAATCGCCTGCCAACCAAAAACATCCCACCAACAGTGGCCCTATGGTCAGAAACTGACCACTGATGAATGTCTAGAGGATGGCTAACACCTACACAGAGCACCAACAAGGCAGATGTGTCCAATGAAGTGGGCAATTCATGTAACTTCCTCAAGTATGAATACAACACCATCCAAATCACATCATGCATCATTCAACATCAGCGTTAGAAGTTTAGTACATTTCACACTATGCAGTAGGTTATATTGACTCTGAGTAAAACGCAGGGTTGGGTAGTAACGGAATACACGTAACGGCGTTACGTAATCAGGGTACAAAACACAGGTAACTGTATTCCGTTAATCAGATTACAGGTACATTATGAGTGATTACCAGCAGGATGACATTCAAATGCAAACGTGTCGCCTTTCACCGAAATTCACCGTTTTAATGATAAATATGTCACATGAGTCGTGTAGATTTGAAGAGTTTTTAATGTGGGAGAGGAGGGGAGGTGGTCCTGCTGTCAGGAGAGAATTCTGAAGACTCCCCTGAGCTTTCACAGTGTTTTATTCAGTCAATTGATAGAAATTTTGGTAAGTATTTTAGTTTTAGTGGCAGAACTGAGATCTGAGATCTTTTCCTGAAGATATCGGACTCAGTCGTTTACCCTGATTTTCCACCTCACCACATTCTACAACAGCAGACTGATCTGATCTGAGAGTAAACTCTTTATCCTCATGTGTTGCTACATGAAATTCTACAGTTTAACCAGCTATAAATCAAACATTTGATCATCTTAACCCGACAGGTTTTAATTAACAGTCTGGAATGTGAAAAGGTGAGAGCGAAGACTCGTGAGCAGTAAAGTTAGTTTCGTTTTCACATGATTTTCTTCTTCAGTTGTTTCCTATTGATGTACGTTATCTTTATTTGTAGCTAAGATGACCAGCTCCTGCTCTAGCGTTTGGGTGAAATTAATGACTTTCTGCTGAACTTGCTGAGAGCTGATTAGGGAGCGTCTACAAATTACTATCATCAAAGTCTGAGCACGAGGCACCAACAGGAAACTGTATGAACCAGAACAGCCTTTAAGCAGATAGAACACAAATGATGGCCACCTCTTTTATTTCTGTTGTTGAGAGGTCTCAAAATAAGATTTCTATCAGATTGATCTTTTAACTTTGACAAAAAACATTTTTAACGAATAAGGCAAACAGAGAAAAGTTAGGGAGAGCAGTTTATAGTGTTTAACTGATCCAGTGTACTGGGTCATTCTACATCAATTACTTGTTCCTCTAAGAGACTCAGAGCTTTTACTCTCAGTGTACTGATTCTTTTTTTAAAATTCCTGTTAAAATCCCTCAATTTTTTTTTTTCCTGGTGAGCAAAGCTTGATTTTTGAACTTGTTTGAGTATAAAAGTCTAAACTCAAATCATACTGTTTTTACAAATTTGCCATCTTTATGTCTGAAATATATCTAAACATCGGTCCACTTAGCTTTGGCTGTTTCTGTGAGCCACAATAATTAAGTCACCTATAATTTATGATTCTTGTTGAAATAATTTTTCTCTTTTATTTATTTACACCTCTTTAATCAAAGAGAAATAATACAAAAGTAACGGAAAGTAATCAGATTACGTTACTGTAATATAGAAATCCTTTGGATTAGTTTACAGCTACGTTTTAAGAGGTAATCAGTCATCTGTAACAGAATACATTTTAAAGTAACCCTCCCAACCCTGCTAAATGTTGCATTCCTCTGTTGTAATAAACAGTGTATAAACTAGCAAACATGCACATACATCAAAGCATGGAGAGCAAGCAGCTTGACAAGGCGATCAGCATGTTAGCAGCACACTCACCACGGGATGAAGCAGTTGTTGTTAAATGTATGCAATGTGGGTAACAGACTGTAAAAAGAAGATGAGACATTAGTGGTGACATTTTTATAGCATTATGACATTAGTAGTGTCATTTTTATCAGCACAGGCAATTCACTCAACGTTCATGAGAAACAAGGCCCATATCTTTCACATCACTTTGAAAGTGCAGGCGATTAAAATGAGGCTTTATAGAATGTACATTTATTTAAATATCACAATTAAACAAGTAACATAGTTACTGCTGATGATTTGCATGGACTGCAGGATCGGAATGGAACGGGGATGAGGAATCAGATCACTTGTTTTGTTTCCTCATGGCGGGGAAGACGAAAGACCTCAAACTCCAACCCTAAACTCTTCTGGCGAAGCGTTGAAAAGCATCAACATTTGTCAGGTTGGCCGAAGAGAATTAGCACTAATCCTTCCCCACCCAGCAGCACGTCCAAAACTAACAAAGACCAAATGTTCGGACTGTCCAGTCCATCTCAGTGAATGGGAGCTGTTCTGACTGCGACTGTGCTTTTGATTCCAGCCCCTCTGGTTTCAAACGAGATCTTTTCCTCTCTAAAACCTGCGGATATCAGGTTTCCAAAGCTGAGCTGGGAAAAAGAGGACAGTCCCCCACTGAGGCTACTAATGGGTCCAGTTTGGCTTTCACTCTTTCTTTATCTTCTTCTGCAGCTTCAGTTTGTCTACAGAAACACTATGGGATGAAGCAAAGATGGTAGGCTTGAGATTAAACTTTACATTGTTGCTCAAAGCAGATAAGAGGTTGGTAGAAAAAGCTTCTCAGAATGCAGTGCAAGTCTGAGAAGCTTTTTCTATATGGGCCTTTGGGGTTCTTTGAAACTCTGAAACAACGGCTCCAGGAATTATTTCAAAGATTTGATACACTGGGGTCATATTACAGAAACTTCTTAAGTCCGAAATCTTATATAATCTGCTTAATCACCATGACAACTTTAGTTAGGACTGAATTTAGGACAGAACAACAGTTCTTAAGTTCATAATCTCATCATTAACTCCAGATAAGAAAACAGTATCACAGAAACATCCTAACTAGACTAAACCTCCTAAATTCTTTAAGATGAACCCCAGAGCGTCTTAACTTCTGTTTAACCGTCTGTTTCTGTTGTTTTATGCAGCGATGCAGCTCAGTTCACTATAACCAGCATAATGACGCCACATTTATCTACACTGAAAACTGAGCTTTGAGTTTTTTTTTCTAACAGTGTTTTAAAACTCTCAGACGCTGCAGACTCGATCTCCACCGCCCCTCTGATTACCTTCGTGTGTTAATGTTGACGATGAAATATTACAGTGATGGTGGTGAATAATGAGGAGACGGAGCTGAACGTGTGTCTGTTGATTAGGAGGAGTAACGTTAGCGCGCTCGGCTAAAGCGTTTGGGAAATGGAGACTGAAACTGGGGATCGGCGACGCTCTGATAAACAGCAGGGGGCGCTCTCACAGTATTCACAACTTACAGTTTATTGCGCTTTAGTTTGTTTGATCTTTGTGTACAGTAACAGCTGCTGTCTGGCTAACTAACTTGATTACATTGATTACATGTTAACATTTCAGCTGTGTTACAGTTGACTGTCAACTTCGATCAGTGAGTTAAGATTTCCTAACTTGAGATTAGATGCTGTAAGATAAGATAAGATTCCTAAATTAAGACCAGATTTGCTTCTATAATATGAATTAGTGAAAAATCTTATCAGATCTTAACTTAAGACAAAAAGACAGGAAGTTTCTGTAATACGGCCCCTGATCTTTACGTCATGGCTCTCCAGCAACAAAATCTGTGGTTTTCTTGTGGAGGATGAACAAATGACGGAAAGGATGGCAGGGTTAGCTAGACGAATACAAGCATCATGAAATTCAGTAAAGGGGCAAGAGTAGAATTTTGTCAGATGTGAACAGCTGTAACTCAAAAATTCAAGTACAAAAATTATGATTTTTGATGGGACGATACGGGGATGGAAATGATGGCTTCTGACTGAAAATACATCAAGTTTGATGGCTTTAGCTTCAAAATTAACACAAACATCTCCTACACAGTAGGACTGGAGCATGAAAGACAGTATAGCATTATAGATGTACAGGTACTATCAGTGTGAAACTCAAATGTTTGTGATTTGTAAGTCGATTCAAAATGATAAATGAGAAATATTTTAGAATTTGTCAGAAGAAGAAGAAGAAGAGAAAAAACAAAAAACAACAAGGGAGAGTTATATAATTGATTTGTTTTGGATGCAGTCAATTTAATCTTAAGCACAGTCTAACTTAAATAGGACAATTTAATAAGAGCCAGATAACTGAGGTATGGTGTGAAAGTGGGCCTTATTCAGAAATTTATATTTCTGATGATTTTACATGAACTGCCATGTACCAGTTTTTCCATAATTCCGGTGTGCTCACTGGTAAAATGAATGAAATCGGAATGAAATGTAATTAACGCCTGTACAAATCCATGCAGACCATGTGTATTACTATGTCATCTATGTATAAACTTATATAGCCTTGTTTGAGTACAATAATTATAGCATTGTTGGAGACGGACTGAACCTGACAAGGTGGTCCTATACTGTTCCAAGGAGTGATCCTGTACTGTTCTGGGTGATCCTGTCCTCAACAACATGTGATCAGGACAAAAATTTTACCCTACGTTCCCACCGGCAGCGAGTTTTCGCCTCTTGTTGCCTAAATCGTTGGTTGCTCATCGCCTGTGGGCGTTTCTGAACTCGAGTAGACTGTTGGTTGCCATGGTTTCACTGACAAATCAGATGCATTCCCGCTAAAAACAAAAATCCTGGTGAGAAATCGCTTGTGTGCTTATTTTCATTTAATCCCCCCGTCTGTGCAGTCAGTTTGTGAGGAAAACAGTATTTGGTCTTTGCGATTACTGTCTATTTTGCGGCAACAGCACCGCCGCCATTATCCCACCTGTAGTGGAAACAATTACCTAGGAACCAAAAAAGGAGCATAGTTTCACGGTGGCAGAGATAAAGCGTGTACTACGCTGCTCATTGCTGAATTCCTACTGGTAATCACCACATCGCTTCGCTCCTTATTTGCATAAAGTTAAACTCTGCTCAACTTTGTTGCGCCACCGACTCCGCCCATTTCACGTCGCCAATGTTCGTGCCGTCTCCTGTCACTGGAAATCGCAGCTCTCATTGAAAATGAATGACCTCCGGCCGGTTTGTGATGTCGCGTCGCTGCCGGTGTGGATGCAGGGTTACATCTGTCTAATGGAAATCTCAGTTTTTTGAAAACATAATCTGTAATATATTATATATCTGTAACATATCCTGTCTGTGCTTTGCTGATGCTTACTTTTTATTCTATCAAGAGCTGCAAATCTGTCCATATATGAAACCAAAAGCAAACACATCATACTCTGAGAAAAGATCTAAAATCTGTATTGACCACAAAAAAATCATATTGGTCAAGCCCTAGTTTATCGATTTGCAGAAGAAGAAAAAAAGAAGCGGAAAAAGGAAGAAAAGTCAAATAATAAAAAACGAAAACATATTTTTAACAGTAGTGACAGCCCTAACGTTAACTCCACTTAACATCAAAGGTTACTCACTGCAGCTGAGGCTGGGGTCCGTCTGCGCGTATGAGGCCGGGATGTCCCAGAAGCTGTTGTCCCAGTCCACAATGTTACCCACGGCATCGCACGCCAGTGCAGACAGCTCCGAGAAGGTCATGGCAGAATCCCACAGGCGGAAGTTGTATATGATGCCGTTGAAGTTCTGGCCCCCTCCTCCTCCGCCCCCCAACTCTAAGGAGCCGCCAGTGTCCACACTCAGGCCCACCGAAGCGGTGCAGGTATTGGCCCGGTAGTTTCCCCCGAAGTTCACGGCCACACGGCCGTTGGTTTTAGACCAGGTGAGGCAGAAGAGCTGTATCTGGGAGGTGAGATCTACTGGGGTGACCAGGTCATCGATGAAACACTTCACGCTGCCTATGCTCAGCTCCATTTTGCTCCCAACGGCGCCAAAGGACAGCAGAAAGCCTTTGCTTGCATTCAAGTAGGAGAAGATGGTCTCTGTGCCTTTCTGGGTCAAGCGGGCGATCTCAAAGCACGCTGTGAACTCGCTCAGCTCAGGGATGGACACCGTGCTGGTCACTTTAATCACATCTCTGGAGTTCTGTGGCAAGGTAACCTTCTGGTTCCTCAGTGCCACTGCAACTGAGAAGTAGAACAGAAACATAATCATTTAACCTGACGGATTCAGTTAATGTAATGAAGGAAAACAGTCCTACCAGACTGTTTTTTAAAGTCATGCTGTTTTCAGTCACAGTAAATGTTTGACTAAAATATTCCATGACTTCCTTAGAACTGCAATAACATCTGTAACAAACCCAGTGACAAGTCTGATTAAAATACATTGAAAACAGTCCGACCAGGACAGAAATTAGGGTTTTCTTCACTAAAGAAAAGGCAGTGATGTTTCATTTTTATTTTCTTTCTTTAACATCACGGCCTGACACATTTTGTTGTTGTTTTAATGCTGTTCGAAAGTGGTCCTGGGGTTTGTTTCTGTTGGCTGACTCTACAGACTCTTTTGGAGCTGCAATGGAAAAAAAAACTCAACACCTCTGCAAGCATTACCATTCAGCACGTCTGCAAAGCTGCGTTTTGATGATCCTTGCTCACTCACCACTTTAGACGCTGAGCCGAGGGAAAGATCAGCAGCGAGACAAAGGTGTTGTCATTTAATTATAGACTGTGATATATTTAAACAGGCAAAGCAGATTTCTTTCAATACATACGTCTTATTCTTTCATCGCAGTACAGCTATGTCTGTCACTAAGGCGTCGATATCTTTGATTTCAGAAGCATTTCACTGGGCATGCCTTGTCCTGCGAGTTCTATCTTGTATGCCAATATACACCGATCAGGCATAACATTCTGACCACCTCCTTGTTTCTACGCTCATTGTCCATTTTATCAGCTCCACTTACTATATAGGTGCACTTTGTAGTTCTACAGTTACAGACTGTAGTCCATCTGTTTCTCTGCATACTTTGTTAGCCCCCTTTTACTCTGTTCTTCAGTGGTCAGGACCCCCATGGACCCTCACAGAGCAGGTACTATTTGGGTGGTGGGTCATTCTCAGCACTGCAGTAACACTGACATGGTGGTGGTGTGTTAGTGTGTGTTGTGCTGGTCTGAGTGGATCAGACACAGCAGTGCTGCTGGAGTTTTTAAACACCTCAGTGTCACTGCTGGACTGAGAATAGTCCACCCACCAAAAATATCCAGCCAACAGCGTCCTGTGACCACTGATGAAGGACTAGAGGATGACCAACACAAACTGTGCAGCAGCAGATGAGCTATCGTCTCTGACTTTACATCTACAAGGTGGACTGACAAGGTAGGAGTGTCTAATAGAGTGGACAGTGAGTGGACACAGTGTTTAAAAACTCCAGCAGCACTGCTGTATCTGATCCACTCATACCAGCACAACACACACTAACACCACCACCACATCAGTGTTACTGCAGTACTGAGAATGATCCACCACCCAAATAGTACCTGCTCTGTGAGGGTCTATGGGGGTCCTGACCACTGAAGAACAGGGTAAAAGGGGGCTAACAAAGTATCAGAGAAACAGATGGACTACAGTCTGTAACTGTAGAACTACAAAGTGCACCTATATAGTAAGTGGAGCTGATAAAATGGACAATGAGCGTAGAAACAAGGAGGTGGTCATAATGTTCTGCCTGATCGCTGTACACTAGTTCTATCTCTCTGAATACAGTGAGAAAAGCTTGAACAGCTAATAAGCAGAACAGGCCGGTCATTTTCAAGTTCGAGTCATTGATCCATCCTGTTGAAGATTTAATAATGTGACCACAAATCTGTCCAGCTATTGCAGTTATAAAGAATATCCATAAAGTCCAAGCCTTGGTGTGTTAACAGCACCTTTGGGGCTTCTATCCTAGAGCTGAGTAAGCACTGAAATGTGCATGATTTTTGGCCATACACGCTTATAGTTACATACAGTTCTCAGCAATGAACAGACCTCAGGACAAACAATGCTTTTCAATGAGAGCATAAAACACAGAACACAGGATAAAATCCATTACATATACAGTCATATGCCAAATTTCAGCTGATATTTTGTTGATTTTCTGAGTGAAAGTAAGTACCACTCCTCTGGTGAACACGCTTCTGCACACTTTACTTGCTGAACTGAACATATATACGTTTTTTACATGTTAAACTCAGCAAATAAAAAGAATTTGTGTAGGACAGTTTGCAGAAAGTGCCCTATTTAAGTTTGACCAACTATTGCCCATGACTGTGTGTTCATGTGTGAGCATCATGACTGCAGTTTGTGAAAAGCAAAGTGTTGGGAGAAGCGATGTGATAGAAAATATGCCAATGTGATGAGAAATATGCTGATGTAATGAGAAACACGTCGATGTAATGAGAAATATGCCAGTTCAATGTGTTGCCTGGTATTATCTAAGCTTTGCTGCATAATGGTTGATTCAGCAAAGCGAAACAAACGGTCCAACTGTTGAGGCAGCTGCAGAACTGTTGAGGGGGCAGCTTCATTGTTTCTGCAAAGTCCACAAGAACTAGGAGCATGTTTGACAAATTAAAAAAAAAGTAAATAACTGTAAGTAGTAAAAAAAAGAACATAATAATAATAATAATAGTAATAATAATAATAATAATAAAAACAAACAATATGGATCCAGGACTTAAATCAGAAACCTAACCTTTGAACATACCTTGCCTGTAACTGATACTGAAGCCCTTCTTCTGGACACTAAAATCAGAATTAAAATACACCGTCATCACGTTCCCAGTGGAGTTGAGCGTGAGTCCGTTGGCCGTCAGGCCGCAAAAGCTATTGCTGGTGCCCGAGCCGTTGTCGATGACAACGCGGTCGTAGATGCAGCCGTGTGCTTCCTCGAGCTCAAAGTCGAGGAAGGTGATCTGCACGATGAAGCCGGCCGGAGCCTGCAGGGTCCACGCGCAGGACTGGCTCGGCGGGTAGTCAGACGGGTAGCAGGGGGACGTAAAAATCCCTTCAGAGGATGTGAGCACCTCATTGCAGTTGCTCTGGCAGCTCAGCACTGCTGGACCAAAATAGGGGGGGTGTGTCATTCAGGATAGAAGTGGACGAGGGACAGAGTGGACAGCAGGAGGACGAGGACAGGACAGGAGAGAGCGAGGGAGCAGGTGAGCTCAGAGAGACGTGCAGTTAAAAAAAGTGCCAACATACAGCAGGCAAGGAGAGGGGGGGGTGTCCGGAGGGGGAGTTCTGGCCTTGTAAATCTCTCGATTCGATTTGACCACACTATTTTAGAAAAATATTCAGAGCATCAAGAAATCTCAAATATTACCATCCCAGAAGAACATTTTATTGTTGAGAAATTCCTCTTTAGTGCCTCAGGAGGTTTAACAGTGATTCTCTCACTTATGCTCGTGGGTATATTTCGGTTTTTCCATCTGAATTTACACACTCAAATCCTAAGACAAATAATTCAGTAACTGCATAAAATGACAATACATTTTTGTTTTTTTCCCCCTAAAATAACAGAAAATGTGTTTTATGATACACATATTGCTATATGCTTACAATTTACTGCTGAAAGCCAAAAATCTTAGACGCTCTTTGTATTTTTTTATAAAAGTAATTTTTACAGAGCAGATCACTGAAGAGACGCCATCTGTTTATAGTTTATAGCCCAGATTTGCGGAAAAATGGGTCGACTTTCAGTAGAAAACAAAAAAATAAAATTGTGAGTTCAGCTTCTTTTATTATAAGGGTTTAAAATGACATCACCCATCTATTTGACTGGAAAGAAGACAGTTACAGCTCTCATACGACCCCCACCTTCTGAATGTAGCTTATAAAATACAAAAGTTATGAAGTAAAGAATATGACGAAGTGCGTTTTGGAACCACCAGGGGTCCCAAGGAGCTAAAGAGGTTAAAACTCCTTAGGAGAAATAACATTCAACAAACAGAAGACAAGCTTTTCTAGTCCAGATTAAAATGATAACAGTGACTCACAGCATCAAAACTAAGAAGGCTCGGATGAGAAGTGGTTAAGTTTCTTGACTTTAGATCAGCTGCAGATAAACAAGAGCGTTATTATCAGATCAGTGCACAATGTGTGACTTCTATTAGATCTTTGATTAGATCGATAGATTCTAAAGAGCTATTCACTTCAAAGCTCTACGGGTACCTGCACACCTCACATGATGTCTCTCTGTTTATGTTGCAACACGTCATCACAGATCTTCCTTCTGTAAATACCGTCCATAACTTCAGAAAATGTCTTATTAAGCTCCTAAACTGTGGAAGTCAACTCCACCTTTTATTAGACAGTCAAGCTCTGTACAGGCATTTGAAAGCACATCTCGTTCATTTAGCTTTTAATTAGAATTCTATGTATTTTTGGTGTTTATTATTTTTTTTTAATTTGATCTGTGTTGATTAACAGGATTTTTATTTAACACTTTTATTTATTATTCTTTTATTACTGCTGCATTCATCACCTGTCTGTAAAGCACTCTGAGCTGACATGAAAAATGCTCTAATATTAAAGTTATTATTATTATTATTATTATTATTATTTGAGATCTCTGCTAATATTTAGGAGAACATTATTGAGTTCTTTTACTCAGGAAATATATCTGACCAGTAGGACACTTAAGCCAGTTCTTTGTCTTTGCATCTGATCTCAATGCTGTCTAGGAAACACTACTAAAATATTTATTCTACATAATATTTTATAAAGAAAATTATGCTCTTTTTTTTTTTTTAGTTTTTTTGCTTCTTTGATGTTTCTATAAGATAAAATGACTTCACTACTTTCCTGAATATCATCATAATCAGTTATAATTTATTCTAACCTTCCAAACTTGATGCACTTGAATTGCTATCCCAGTATCAGTTACATACTGTACAGTCACGACTAGACTCGGCCGCCAGATGCGCAGTAAACCAAATAAAACCTGTCATCTTATAGTAAAACCTGAGCCTTTCTTTATAATCACAACTGGAAAGACCTCTTCCACAGAGCCTGAAGGGACTCCTTCAGTGACAGTATCGGTTCTAGTGTTTATTATTCTGGAAGAACGCTAGACGAAAGAAGAATACTAGGCCTGGAAAAAAGGACCCAGAGAACAATGGCTGCTGTTCATGTAGTCTGGTTGACACAGACGCCAGAAGCACAGCAAACACTGGCGGATCAATCCAGCCGAAGAGCAGAATCCCAGAAGTCCAGTCACACTTTTTATGTGGTATGAGTTTTTTTTTTTTTTGCATTCACAAAGTTATTTTAAGAGGAAGGATGAATGGAAATAAATAAATAAATAAATAAATAAACGTGAACTTAATATATAAACAACTTAAAGGGGTCATATAACATTTTCTTGTGTTATTATTTTTTCAAACTTCATGTATTTATGTCGCAATTATTTTTCTACCCGAGCGCAAGATGCAATGCCACAGAAACCCAAAGTCTGGTGTGGACAAACAATGCAGGTGTAAAAAATGTATGGTTTCTATTTATGGACGGTATAGAATTGCTAAAGTACTTACATACTACATCAAACTCTTTGTCCTAAAAAACAAATACAACCCCTTTTATTAAAAAACACTGCATTTCAAAAACATCCATGTGAAACACTTTAAAAAAAAAACTTTTTTCTAACTTTCTGAAACTGAGAATGGTGTTTCTCAGGGCTCCAGTCATGGACATCAAACGTGTACGTGGAATATTTACAGCAATTGGTCCTAAACCAACTTTATGTGGTCAAACTTCAGAGCCTGCCTGAAGGACCAGTGGGACGTCTGAGATTTGATGCCTCTGTAAACGCTCCAATCAGCGATCTCTGGACCTGAGAAGCCAAAATCCCAGGAACGTCTCCAGTAAGGGGGGCCGAAGGAATCCCACCTCAAAGGGAGGAGCACACCCTTTCTTTTACGGCCCAAACCACAAGTTTTTGTTTACCTCTTGAGTTCAGGCCAGGATGGTTATAGCCTCATTAACTGCCTTATGCTCACCAGGACAGCGAACACAGAGTTCGGCTTTTGGGCCGCGTTTCTTGCGATTTGACTCGAAAAGAGAAAAAGCCTGAAAAGTTAGACTGAAACCATTCACAGTTCTCTTTCCATGGAGAGAGAGAGAGAGAGAGAGAGAGAGAGAGAGAGAGTAAAAGATTTTACTGAAAGAAAAAAAGAAGAAAAACACCTTAGAAAAAATAAAATAAATAAAAACAACAAAACAAAAAATGAGGAAAGTGTTCTCTATTATGCTCTTACGCCAAAAACAGTATATATGCGTATCTTTAAGCAAACTTCAGCTGATCGGAAGTGCATCAAAATAGAACCAGAGCTTCTTACCAGCATCCCCTATTGATGTAAACAGGTAAAAGTGTATTCTGTCATATTAAGGCCCGATCCCATTTCTTCTTTTTACCCCTACCCCCTGTTTTTGAGTGTCACCTTAACCCCTTGGAACTGAGTAACAAGGGGTAGTGGTTGAAATCTTCCCTCTGAAATGGGACCCTCAAATAAAAAGAGCATCACTTCATTAACAGCTACCAGCGCTGCTCTGTAGGCGACCCTGCCAGTCTGCAGTGACAGCAGAGGAGGGTAAAGTTCAGCTCCTCACTGCTGGGCTTTAGTTACATTTAGGGCATCATATGCCTTCAAAGAGGGGGGCAATTATTTATTATCGCCCACCCCTAATTCTTCAGTGATATGAAGCTGAAGTCAGATATTCACCAGCTTCTTGCTCGAATTTTTCTGTTCCACCTTAAATGGTGCAGCAGTTACATTCTTCAGGCGTCAGAACTGCTGGACTATTTAAGGCGGAACGGGAAAGTTAGCTAGCTACCGAAACATTAGCATACTATTAATGCTTTTTTATGCTTGTTATGAAGAAAACGACCATAATACACTGAAACGACATTAAACTAAGATAATACCGTGGTTATTGTAATTTTTAACAGAGAAAATTCTCACATTTGTGTGTTTCTTTGGTCTCTTGTTCTCCATCTTGCTGTTTTTCTTTTTTCCTCATAACTCTCTGTTTGGAGTCTCTGAAAAATCTCCGTTTGGAGGGTCGTGTAGCTCTAACACTTTGCCCCACCCCTTTATCTCAACAAGAATCGGGACACCCTACCCCTAGATGTGAACACGCAACACAGAGGGCTAAGGGCTCAGTGGTAGGGGCGAGGGCTGAAATGGAATTGGGCCTAAGAGGGCAAATAATATTTGACCACTTCTATCTTTATGTAGTTGTGTTTAATAAATGAAATGGTCCGTCTGCTTGGTTTAAGTACTTTAGATATACAGGGCTGGCTTTGTGGCCACCAGTTAAGCCTAGTCTGGGATAAAAATGCTGGTGTTTCACCATAAAAAATTCTGTTTCGTGTAGGTTAGGCTGAATCTAGGTGTGAGACACCGACTCACAGAGGCCAGATATCAAACACATCTACTATCTTAGCAAAAAACACTATTTATAATACAAAAAATGGGCTGTCCTAGTTCTATAGAGGACAATAGATCAACCATTTTTGGTGCTATACAAAACAGTAACTATATACAACAGGTGCATGAAAACCCATGGAGATTAAAGATGATCATCACGAGGAGACGCCTCTGAACTGGTGTCAAAAACACATTGCTGGCTGTTGCCCAATTTGTTATTCTGATTGTGTCCAATCTGTGTTGCAGTATTGTGGTGTGTAAACCTAATCTAGCTGTAAAAAACAGAATTGGCCATAAAAATGAATGGCTGGTCCATCACTAATAATAATAATAATAATAATAATAATAATTAATGCAACAGAGAATATAATAACTGACCATCGTATCCACCCTATGGAAGCAAGCTGAGTATAATTATGGTTAATTAACTATATTGTTACCCAGTCTGATCTAACTGTCTGATTCTGGCTTGTATACAGAAAGTTTGCATAGTTTCTGTGTAGCAATGGACTTTTGTGGATTTTTTTTCCAATAGGAATGAAGGGGTGAAAAATTGCATGACAATCTACTGGACTTCTGCTTGACCGAAAGACAACGTTTCACGCACACTATCTCAGGGCAGAGCCCC